ACTGGAAGGACACATCAAAACATCCTTCTGACTTCAATGTGATGCAACTTTGTTTAGCACCATAAATCCCTTTTTATATATTTATTGAAGAAATCTATACCAAACACTATCTGAAAATCTAATATCTTCAACACTACAAAGTCCACTCTTTCTTTCCACTTGGATATTTTTATTGGAACATCACTCACAAACTTTCTAGCTACTTGCCCACCTTTGGCAAACCAGAAGTGCATAGGTAACATTTGCTCAGCATTCAATCCTAACAACTTAATTAAGTCCTTAGATATCACATTGTGCGCAGCTCCCGTGTCAATCATCACTTGGATTCAGTGTTCATGGACAAAGCCTACCAGATACATCAACAGATTAATGTTTGCATTGACTACGAGAAAAGCTTGAGGAAAGCAATGAAAGTAACTCACCTCCTCTTCCTCATAGTCTACATTGACCAACTCGTCAACCCCTTCAACTTCACCACCACCATCTTCCCTCATGACATTAACACGAGACCTTGTCTTATGCTTGTTGGGACATTCCGAGGACCTATGTCCTGACTCTCCACAATGGAAGCAATGACACACACTACTTGTTCCGCTAGGAGCAGGTTTTGCAAATTGTTGTTGCTTGTACCCACCAAGAGGAGGAACAAAAGGCCTAGGACCAGAAGAAGCTGCTAGTGGTATCCAACCACCACCACCTTTGCTAACCGTTGCTTGTGAGCTTTCAGGTCGGAACCTGCCTTCCACCCTTTATTTCTGATCACCTTGTTTGTTCCCAGAATTCTTATTCTTGTCCGAGGTACCAGCATACAGTTGTTGATATTGTTCCATGAGCAAGTGGCTAAAGGCAACTTGCTATGCTGCCTCCATACACTCCAGGTACATCTTTAGCTTAAACTTTAAAATCTCATTGCGAGAAAGTGAATTTAAACCCTCTAGAAAATAACTCCGAGCATCTTTGTCACTCATATTTGCAATCATAATGCACTTCTGAGCAAACTCATTAACGTAATGTATGAGGTCCCCTTGCTACTTTAACCGCTGCAGCTCCATGTGAAGTCTCAAACCAAAATCATCCGGCAAGTATTCCTTACGGATACGAGACCGCATCTTGGTCCAACTTCTAGTTTGCCCTTTTTCAGCACACACCTGGTGCCACCAAGTTTTGGCATGATCAGTGAGAAAGAATTGCACACACGCAACTTTCGCACGATCATCTACGTTTGCCGCTATAAAATAATTTTCCATATCGTAGACCCAGTCTTCCAAAACCTGATAGTCCCACATGCCTCTGAAATTGGGTGGTTTCAGAGGCTTGAACTTTGAAACTTGTGCAACCGGGGGCAGCTGTAGAACTTCATTGTCCTCAAAACTTGAAGAAGAGTCTAGTTGCTTAGGCTTAGCTAGTTTAGCTACCTTAGCTTCTTTCTTCCTTTTTTTGTTCTCCTTCTTCAATTTGTGAATCTCCCTTCGCAAATTATCGATCTCGACTTTCTGAGCCGTACACTGCAATGCCGTAGCATTTGGTTCTTCCTCTTTTGACATAGCCTCTACCTCTTTTGTAGCATCTCTAGCAAGAGTTTCCTCTTCTCAATTCACCCGTCTAGAGGTTTCAGCATCATCAGCACGGTTCCGTTTCACCATCTCGCTAGCTACATTAATGCCTCTATCAATAACTGAACATGTATACAACATTCTTACTGAATGGTGCAATTCAACTAATCCTACACAGGTTGCTTTGGATCTACTAGAAAAATCTCTGCGTATGCAACTTGAGTTAGAAAGTCTGACAAAAGTTGGATAGAAATCGT